ATCACCACTATTTAATTCCAGAACCTTTTATCACCCAAAAAGGACATCCAGGCACTCCTCTTTCTTCCTTCCCCCCTGCCCTTGGCACCTCCTATTCTACCTTTTGTCTCTACAGATTTATCTATTCTGAATATTTCATATAAATGGAATTATATAATATGTGGCCTTTTATGTCTATCTTCTTCCACTTAGCATGATATTTCCAAAGTTCATCTGTGTTGTAGCATGTATTAGTATTTCGTTCCTTTTTTATGGCTGAATAATATTCATTAAAGAGTTTTTTTAACTTATAAATAGCTTTATAAAAATCCTATTCTATTTTCTTTTGAGAAAAATCTGTTCATTTATTTGCCCACTTTTGATGGGGTTATTTTTTTTTTCTTGCTGATTTGTTTGAGTTCTTTGTAGATTCTGGATATTAGCCCTTTGTCAGATGTATAGTTTGCAAATATTTTCTCCCATTCTGTAGGTTTTCTATTTACTGTTGATTACTTCCTTTGATATGCAGAAACTTTTTGGTTTAATTAAGTCCCATTTACTTATTTTTGCTGTTGCTGTATTTGCTTTTGGGGTCTTACAAACATGAAAAAATGCTCAGCATTACTAATTACTGGGGAAATGCAAATTAAAACCACAATGATATATCACCTTATCCCATCAGAATAGCCATTATTAAAAAGTCAAAAAAACAACAGATGTTGACACGGATGTGGTGAAAAGGGAATGCTTATACACTGTTGGTGGGAATATAAATTAGTACAACCACTATGGAAAGCAGTATGGAGAGTCCTCAAAGAACTAAGAGTAGACCTACCTTTGATCCAGCGATCCCACTACTGGGTATCTACCCAAAGGAAATGAAGTCATTTTATAAAAAAGACATCTGTACCCGAATATTTATCGCAGCACAATTCACAATTGTCAAGATATGGAACCAACTTAAGTGCCCATCAATTCATGAGTGGATTAACAGAATGTGGTATATACAGACACACACACACACACACACACACACACACACACACACACACACACACCATGGAGTACTACTCAGCCATAAAAAGGAATGAAATAATGTCTTTTGCAGCAACTTGGATAGAATTGGAAGCCATGATCCTAAGTGAATTATCTCAGGAATGGAAAAACAAATATCTCATGTTCTCACTTATAAGTTGGAGCTAAACGAGGGGTACATATTGTCATAAAGTGGGATAATGGAAATTGTAAACTAAGAAGAGGGAGGGAGGAAGGGGAATAAGAGATAAAAATCTACCTCTCAGGTACAATGTACACTATTCTGGTGACAGGTACACTGAAAACCCTGACTTCAGCATGATACAATTCAGCCATGTAACAAAAAACACTAGTACCCCTAAATTTTTTGAAAAAAAAATCCCATTCTAGACTAGGGATTGGCAAACTTTTCCTATAAAAAAGCCAGATAGTAAATATTTTAGGCTTTGTGGACCACATACAGTGTCTCCTGCAGCTACTCCATCTTGCTGGTATAGCATGAATGCAACCATGACAATATGTAAACAAATGGGTGTGCCTGTGTGCCAATAAAACTTTATTTGCAGAAACAGACTGCAGATCTGATTTGGCCTGGGGGCTGTGGTTTGATGAGCTCTGCTCTAGATCATGTCATTTTATACAACCTCCATTTACATTTTGAGGAAAGAGATGATGGCCCAGGTGCTGAGCTATTTGTAACTGGCACCAACTGCTTTTTCTTAAAGTTGGATTAACCCCTCACAATATGCTGTTCTGGTGTGGCTGTGCAAATCTGGGCTGTCTGCAATTTCCAGCCTCCTATGCTTGAACATTCTCATTGTTGTCTCCCATCCCAAGTCTGTGTCTCGCCTTTCCAATCTTAGCTGGCTACTCAAAGACCCGAAAATGAAGCTGAGAACAATGTACAAGGGCTTCACTAATGCAGTGAATCGCTACTTTGACAAGCTGATTTCCAGGATAGTACCACTCCAGGTAAAACCCACTCCCCCATCTCTAAGACCAATGGAAGTGATTGCCTGGATTAGTTTCCTGGATAGGACTAACTTACTTTCTGTACGCTCAGGAACAGGAAGCATAGGCAACAGCTAATTCCAATTCCTTATTGTAAAATGGCAGATTTTAATTGCTCTTCTTTTATGCCTTTCCTGCACCTGCTGCCTAACTGAACACTCACATACTTAGATCTACCTTTTTCCTGGAAGGACACTTGGAACTACACTCTGTGTATTTTTATTTTGTCTTGTCCATTATTCACTTGCTCTCTCTATTGCCATAATTGGAAATTAGTGATTATCCTCAAAATGTCTTCATTTATCTCCTAATGATAGCTACATGTGTCAGTCCTTCACAAACAGAAGCTTATACAGATGACTTTAGGTCAGTGGTTTTGTAAAAGTTGCAATTTACTTAGCTTTTAATATACCTCTCTGCAATAAAACCATTGGGTATTAAGTGGACATAATGGACATAACATGCCACTATATTTCTAAGTGGACATAACATGCCACTATATTTCTAAAATGGCTGAAAAACATACAATGGACTATATACTAGGTAGAAAATGAGTAGAGAGGAGTAACAAGTTAATAGCATCTATTAGGTGTCAAGCTTTGGTCTAGGTAATTAACATTTACTTAGCATATTTTATCCTCACAGGGATCATTTGAAGGAGACATTGTAGATAGAATGGAGGCAATGGCAAGGCTTGCATATGGCCAGGACGAGGCTCCACATGGTGTGAATTTACTGGGAACAGAGTTGGTTCCTAACACTATGAGTGTCTCAGAGTTAATTAGACTCAAGGAAGCCATTGAAACTCATGACTTAAGAACATAAATTAATGTGTATGTGGAGTGTAGTAGAGATTGGCCTTTACTGAGACTAGAGCTACACCGTCTAATATGATTGCCATAGCCACATGTGCCTGCTTAAATTTAAATTAATTACAATTAAATAAAATAAAAAATGTAATTTCTCATTTGTACTAGCCACATCTCAAGTGCTCAATGGCCACACGTGGCTGGTTGCTACCATATTAGACAGTGTGAATATAGAACATTTTCATCTTTGCACAAAATTCTACTGAACAATGCTAGACTAGAATGCTCACCCCATCCCTAATTCAGGACTTCTTAGTCTTGAAAATCTTGACTGAAAAACTAAATTAGTAATCAGCAAGTTGCTTAGTGAGCATGAAACCAGGCCCTGAGGAGGTTAGGAGGTCTTGAGAACATTCTGTAGGCCTCACGAATCACCACTTCCTTACAACTGAATACCTTTCTTTTAGAACTTTCAGTTGCGTTTTTCAGATTCAGGGTCTCTTGCTTCAGATAATTCCAGGTACTGTCAACTTCTGGATCTTTCCTCTTTTCTATTTTCCAGTCTGTTAGGTTCCTCATTGGTTGGATAGGAAAGGGGAGGGGAGAAGCAGGTTTTGAAAAGGTTGCTTGATGTTTGTCAGTAGGGGATATGTAATTTAAAGATTTGAGAAACACTGTTTTAGGCTTTGTGTCTTTTTTTCTTCCTTATCAGCGTTTACAATATAGTCAGTTATTCCTTGCTAAATATCCTCCCATTTCAATTCTCTGCATCTAAAATTTCTCCTAGTTCATGGTGATCGGTTTTTGGTGTGCAAACACTTCAGTCAGACATACACATAGTCCCGGGTCTTGCCCAGATTGCTACTTGCATGATTGGCATGAGTTTAATTCTTAAGTGTCAACAATATTTTTCTTATCTGGGAGGGGTACCTCATGATTGTCTCATGTGTTCTGAGAGTCGATTGAGGAAGTGCAAAGTGGGCACAGTGAAATTCGCCTAGGATGTGACAGGTGTAAGATAGGGAGAAAAGATACGTTAACTGACCGGGATTTTGGGTTGAGAGAGCTATAAAGATAGGGGATAACTGTGCATGTTAACATTGACAGAAAGGGACAACAAGGAGGGAGGGTTTAAAGATATTTGCCAAAGGACATGATCACCAGGGCAGAAGGGGCTGCGATCAACACAGAGTTGGGAGTAACAGAGAACCATGAGGAACACCAACATTAAGAGGACAAAAGGATCCCACAAAGGAGTCTGAGGAAGAGTAACCAGAGCTAGGAGAGAATGGGTTACAGAAGACAGCAGAAGAGAGGGTTTCATGAATGAGGAAATGGCCAAGAGTATCAAATGTTGCTAAGAGAACAGTTACATTAGGACTAAAATTTCATGATTGAATTTAGTAAAAAGAAGGTGAGTGCTAACAATTTAGGTGGAATGGAAAGAATGAAAGTGAGGCTACAGTGAGTAGAGGAGTAGATGGGAGGATGGGTCAAGAGGGAGTACAGAAATAATTCACAAAGTTTGGCCATGAAGCTGAAGAGGGCAAGAGGATGCTAACTGGAGGGGGAGTGGTCCAGGAAAGTTATTTAAAACATAGAAGCTTAAGTCAATTTAAATGATGACGAGAAAGGTTCACGAAGGAAAGAGATGAAGATACAGAAGACAGAAGGGGTACACCAAAGAGCAACGTTCCTGAAAAGTGGGAAGGAGATGAGATCCAGCACACAGGAGGTGAGATAACCCTTAGAAAGGATGACAGACACCTTAGTCATTGATGCTGTCACTAGTGCTCAGGTGGAAAGATGGTTGTGAAAGTTTGAGGCCCCATGCTTAATGCATTGAATTAGGGAAAAAATAAAGGAAGTTAATTATTTAAGCAATATTGGGAAATGTAGGATTCTGAGTATATGACTTCTTCCCCGAGGTGACTGCTACCTTAGTGTGAGAGAAATTGCCAGAACTGTATTGCAACTTGAGGTTGGCTTTAGGAGTGTGTTATTTTTATGGCACTCCAGATATGTGTGTGCTTAGTAAACTCAGCAAATCCAGTCTTTTCCCGCCCTTACCTCACTCTGAAACTCTCATCTCCTTGACCTTCAGTATAACCAGGGAGGTCCCATCATTGCTGTGCAAGTCGAAAATGAATATGGTTCATATTATCTGGATAAAAAGTACATGTCATACGTTAAAAAGGTAAGTGCTTTTTTAATTTTTCTCCATATTTACGCACTTCTTTTCTCGCCATTTGTTTGTGGAGCAAACATATCCTGAGTACCTGTAGGTTTCATAGAACCATGGGATATGAAGATGAATAAGGTCCAGTTTAATTTCTGCATGCATTTACCTTCTAGAGAAGGGACTGGAAACTACCTGCATAACTCTAGTGTAAGGCAAAGAAGTGATGTTAAGAATATCTTTCCTTTCTGTTGATATCATAGCTCTATTTTAGTTGATGTTTGCATGATACATATTTTTTTTTCACTTTCAAATTTTTTGTATCCATGATTTAATGTACATGTCTTTAAAGTAGTATGTAATTAGAATTTGTTTTTGTTAATTCGTCATGAAAATTCTTGTCTCTTGAATAAAGTATTTGGTTTGTTTACATTTAATGTAATTGATGATATATTTGCATTTTTTTTTTTTTTTTTTGAGACAGAGTCTCACTCTGTTGCCCTGGCTAGAGTGAGTGCCGTGGCGTCAGCCTAGCTCACAGCAACCTCAAACTCCTGGGCTCAAGTGATCCTACTGCCACAGCCTCCCAAGTAGCTGGGACTACAGGCATGCACCACCATGCCCAGCCAATTTTTTCTATATATTTTTAGTTGGCTGATTAATTTCTTTCTAATTTTAGTAGAGGCGGGGTCTTGCTCTTGCTCAGGCTGGTCTTGAACTCCTGGGCTCAAACAATCTGCCCGCCTCGGCCTCCCAGAGAGCTAGGATTACAGGCGTGAGTCACCGCGCCCGGCCTGTATTTGCATTTAAATCTATCATCTTATCATTTTATTTCTATATGTCCTACCTGTTCTATGGTCCCTTTTCTCTTCTTTCTTGTGTTCTCTTGGATTGACTATTTTTTTATTAACCCATTTTCTCCTCTACTGGCTTTTTATACGTTTTCACTATTCTTTTAATGTTTGTCATACAGATCACAGTCTCCATCCTTGAATTGTTAACATCTAAGTTGAAATGTTTGCCAATTCCAGGGCAAAGCAAGAACCTTAGCACAGTTAATTGCATTTTCCTCTCTCCCACCTTAGGTACCATTGTTATCATTTCATCTAATGTTATATATATATTTTAGACCTGCAACATTATTGTCATTTTTATTATTATGTAGAATTAACACTCATTTAGATTTACCCATCTAGTTTACTTTTTGTTGCTTTTACCCTCTGCATCTCTGAGCTTTCATCTCTCTTGTTTTTCTCTGCCTTTATTTATTTATTTATTTATTTATTTATTTATTTTTTATTTCAGCAAATTATGGGTGTACATACGTTTAGGTTACATGTGTTGCCCTTGGTTCCCCCCCCACCGAAGTCCGTGCTTCAAATATGTCCATCCTTCGGGTAGTGCGCATTGCACTCCTTGTGTATACAAATACCCGTCCCCTCCTCCCTCCTCCTCTCTGCCTTTAATATTTTCTTTGTTGCATGTATACTGGTGACAAATTCTTTCACCTTTTGTTTGTCTGAAAATAAGTCTAGTTCACCATCAGTTTTGAAGTACATTTTTGTTCTAAGTACAATTCTAGGTTGGCACTTACTTTCTTCGGGCATTCTTCTGACATCTGTTAAGAAGTCAGTTATCAATAAAATTATTGTTCCTTTGACGGTAAAGTGTCTCTTTGCTTCTGGTTGCTTTTAATACTTTTTTCTTCAGTTTTCAGCAATTTTATTAAGATATGCCTAGGTGTGGTTTTCTTTCTACTTATCCTGCTTATGTTTTTTGCACGCTTTAATTTTTGGCTTGAAATCTGTAATCTATTTTGGAAAATTCTTAGCAATTATGCTCTGTTTTCTTTCCCCTCTCCTCTGGCATTTCAATTTCACAAATTTAGATGTTTTCTTTATATTCCACATATATATTATACTATTTTCTGGATGATTTCTTCTAAATTATCTTTAAATTCATTAATTTTCTCATTAGGTTTGTTTAATTTGATGTTAAACCCATCCTATTAAGTTCTTAATTTCAAATATTTTAATTTTTGGGTCTAGAATTTTTATTTGATTCTTTTTTAGAGTTTTCATTGCTTTGCAAAATTTTCTGTTTTTTATTTAATTGCTTGAACACATCAATTATAATTATTTCAACATCTGTGTCTAATAAACCTAATATTTGAGCTCCTATTGATCTGTTTCTGTTGTATTTTTTCTCATGGTTTCAGTAAAGTATTGTCTTCTGGTATGCCTAATAATTTTTTAATTTAACGTCAGACATTTATTTATGAAAACATTGAGATCATTTGAGGCTCTTGATCATCTTCCAGATGGATTCATTTTTGCTTCTCGCAGATATTTGCAATGATTTGAAGCTGAGCTTCAATCCGTGTGTGAGCTAATCTAGTTCTTGTTCACTCTTATTCCCAGGGGATAGCCCTGTAGATTCTAGCTGAATGCCATGGTGTCTAACCTGTGGCAGTCGTCAAACTGTAGTTTCTTTCCCCAAGTCTTGTAAAACTGCTGGCATCTCTGCTCAGCTTCTCAGACTATTCCTGGCTGATGCTTTAGGAATCAGCCACTGTCTTAAGGCAAAAGCAGTGCCAAATGCCAGCCTCCCGTTCTCACTGGGACCTTGGCTCCTCAAGTTCTACCTTACATATCTGGTGTCTCCAAAGAAGTTTTTGAAAAGTATTTTGTCCAGCTTGTATAATTGTAATTAGAAAGAAATTTAGTTGGTATCTTAGTCCATTTTCTGCTGCTACAACGCAATACTTCATAAAGAATTTTATAAGAGTAATTTATAAAGAAAAGTTTATTTGGCTCATGATTCTGGAGGCTGGGAAGCCCAAGAGCATGGTGCTGGCCTCTGGTGCAGGGCAGCATGTGGTGGAAGGCATCAGGAGGCAAGCGAGCACATGAGACAGAAAAGGGGGACAAACCCTCATGATAATGAACCCACTCTGTGGTAATGCATTAATCCATTCATGAGGGCAGAGCTTTTATGACCCAATTGCCTCCCAAAAGCCCCAGCTCTTAACTCTACCAAAATGGCAACCAGGTTACCAACGCTCAAACTTCTGGGGGCACATGCAAACAATAGCAGTTGGAAACAAAAATAGCTCATCATCCCTAGAAGTGGAACCTGTTACTATCCCTATGAATTATGAACCATGTGTCCTGGTTTGTCCAGGACACCCCCAGGATGCTAGAATAATTGTTACCACCCTCTTTCTTTCTCAGGTGTCTAGTAGGATAAGTGATATGATCATCTGCCATTGAGCCATGTTGCTCATGGGGGCTAGACACTTGACTCATGGTATTCCAACGGGACCCATGGTAGAGGAGTGGGGCGACACTGATTGGTATATGACATGCTGGCTCTTCTCAGAATCACTTCTCTGCCTCCCCTCTTTTTCAAAAAAGTCCAGTAGAAACAAACTACTTCCTCATACCTAACAAAGGATTATAGGGTTAATTGCAGGAATATTTTCATTTTCAGGATATTCTGATGTGAAAGATCAGGAAGATGTACCTTTGGCTTATCTCAGTACCCGTGGTCACACTCCCAGGATTCTACCACGAAGTAGATAAGTCCCATAGCCTCTTCTCTCTATCTTGGATTTACAAACTATCTAGAATTTTTTTTTAGTTAAAGTAGGAACATTAAAGATTCATGCAGCAAAAAGTGTGACTGTGGCTGGACTTAGCCAAAACTTGCCTGCCTTTGCCTTCGACCAAAGGAAAGCCCACAGTTGCGCATGTGTCCCCAAAGGCCTCTTGTGTATTGGGCCCATGGGATGTGGCTAATTTGGGTGAGAATGTGGAGAAGACTGTTCACCTTAAGCTCTCTGATACACTGGAGAAAATCCAGAATTCAGGTCCTCAGGGGAAAGCACTATATTAAGGCGAATGCAAACAATCCCACTGCCTCTTGTATTAGGTTTCAAATTTCAGTTGTCACTTTGGCCTTGCTGAGTGTGGCTGAAGTGGGGATGAGATTTTTGTCTTAATTTCCTAACTTATAAGTAGCTGGATGGGGAATTAGACCTTTCTCTCCATTTCTCAGCTTCTCTCTATTAATAGTATTTTTATTGCCATAATTTTTTCCAGAGAGGAGCAGTCCCGAGGGGCCAGAGACAGTTCATTTACCTCCCTGTGAATTTCTCCGTAGGCCCTGGTGAAAAGAGGGATCAAGGTGCTGCTCATGACTGCTGATAGTGGACTAGAACTGAGAAGAGGCCACGTAAAAGATGGTACAGTTTTGGTTTTGCCCTAGTTCCTCCATTAGTCAAGTCTGAAACAGAATGGGAGTCCCTGTGCTGTGCCATCCTTCCCGTCTCCATGGATGAGGCCCGGTTGTCCTTAGGTGAAAGCAGGCCTGAGTTAAGGAGCCAGTCAGGCCTTGCTGCCCCACCAGATGTTACCCCTGGGCGTGCACCATGCAGGACACTCACTCCACCCCCTCAGCCCCTTAGGGGCCCAGGGTGCGGCCTGGCTGGGACTTGAATAAAGGCAACTCTGTCATTGACATGGGAAGTGGATGCCGTGTCAGAGAAATTGTCCTGTCGTGGACCCAGCCCCAGAAGCTCATGGGATAAATAAGCCCAGGAAATAAAAGCAGCAGAGAAATATAGAATAGGATTACAAAGAGCAACGTGAGTTGATACACAGAAAAATGGGAAAAGGTAACATGCAGACAAATGGAGCCAGAGAATAGTGCCTTTTGGAATTCTTGAACCCAAGCAATTTTGTCAGGTGCCTTGTCCTCTGCCATTCGCTCAGCCAGGCTTTTTGGTGACCCTTCCTCATCTTGTAGTGGGAGGGTCAGAATAGTGTTCTGATTTGGAGGTCAAGAGACCTGTAGCCAAGTTTTAGGTCTTAGGTTACTCACCTCTCTGGGCTCGATTTCCTCATGTGGCCTGCATTATTCATCAGTGTGATGTGGTTTATTTTAACTGCCAGTCTTACTTCTCTGGGTCATTCATAGCAAATGCTAAATGAAGGGATGTATTTGAAAGCCCTTTGTATGTTGCATGTTTGGATCCAAGTGTATGTAGGATCACATCAGAGCTAGCCACAAGCGTGTCAATGGGAAATGACTGTGAGAGGCATGTACAGGAGGTGTTGAGCCCACTGTCCCTCCTGGCCCTGGGGGGTGAGGGTGTCTTCTGCCCTGCTCTGTAGTGGTCATAGCAGGGCACATGCAGAGTTTCTCCTTTCCCTCCCCAGTGCTTGCCACTGTCCACATGAAGAATATCAAGCAAGAAACTTATCGAGAGCTTTCTTCAATTCAGGTACGGACACTTTAGGGCTGGGAGACATTTTGATTCTTGTCCGTGCTAGGACCTCTTCACTCATTTGCTGGGGAAATTCTCAGCAGTGATTAGTTCAGTTAAAATTTGGATCTCTCATGCCCTTGAAATACCTCCTCTAAGTGGCTTTAGGTTCGACTAAATCAAATTCGCATGCCCACAATATCTTGCCCATAGCCCTCAGCATTAAATAAAGTCTGTTGTAATTTGCTTCCAGTGCATTTCTTAGACTTGACTAAGACAGAGAACAACTTGAGAGAACCACAATTCTTAGGGTAGATGTTGCGATATTAACTGAATATAGGGAGAAAACAGAGCTTCTGACTCCCTGTTTTGTTTTTGTATTTTCTGTCAAAGAGAATCCTCTCCAAGCTGGATAAAGTACAGCTCACATAGTGAACGGGGACCTGACACTTGAGCTAGGTGAGAAGTTAGAGGTTTCAAATTAAGATCAGAATGAGGACTTTTTTTGAGTCCTCATATATACCGGTGATCAGACAGACATACTCCTTGCCCTTACAGAGGCTGCATCTAGGGTTGCTCGCTGTGCATGGGGGCTCTGTTGCTGCCTTTGTCCTGATTGATATTCTCCTGAACAAAGAGAGAGAAGATAGAGAGGTTTATCTTATCAAGGGTCCAGACGAGAGAATGCTGAAAGGAGTGGGGTCTTCTGCATCTTAGTAGGCTGCAATCAACATGGAGTAATTGTACAGCCCCTGCATTAAAGTTAAAAACCAAATGATGGCAGCAAAGTTAAAGGGCCAAAATGCAGAAAGGAAGAGGGCTATCTTGATGGCACTTTGCATCAAAGGGGTTTTGGAAGTCAGTTGACTGCATGCTTCACCTGAACCAAGTGACATCAACTTCCAATAACTTTGAAAACTTGAGTTTCGTTGATAGAAATGACATTATCACATTTCTCCATACTGGCAAGAACAAATGTGAAGCATTTGTTTTTTCTTTTTTTCTGCTCAGGGCATCATGTCTTACGAGGTATTTTAACAAAGTGGAATACTTCCAGGAAATATGGGTAGGGATATGTAAAAATAACTCAAGGAACTGGGAGTGAGTCTCACATTAAAAATAAGACTCATTTGGTGAGCATCTTCAAAATTTTAGAGTATTTCCATGTGAAAGGGAAACTCTTTGTAGTACTAGAGAGCAGAATTAGTTTCAATGGGTAAAAATTAATGAGAAAACATACATTGTCTCATTATAAGGATTATAATTTTTAACAATCTGAATTCTCCAAAAATGGAATGGACTGCCTTGTGTAGCAATGAATTCCTTATCAGACAAAGATGAAGGGCAGTGGCCACAAAGTGCCTATAAGTGTTCCAGTATTTACAGATGACAATGCCTACAGGAAGTGAGAAGTGATACACTAGAAAAGCGCAAATAAAAAATCCTTCCTATTGTATGAATCTATGAGACTTAGTCCATTTGGGCTGCTATGATAAAATACCATAAACTGAGTGGCTTATAAACAACAGAAATTTATTTCTCACAGTTCTGGAGGCTTGGAGGTCTAAGATCAAGGTGCTGGCAGATTCAGTGTCTGGTTAGGGCCCACTTTTCTGGTTCATAGAAGGTGCCTTCTATTCATAGCTGCTTCCTCACATGGTAGGAGGGGCCAGGCAGCTCTCCTGGGTCTCTTTTTACAAGGGCACTAATCTCACTCATGAGGGCCCCACGTGCATGACTTAATCACCTCCCAAAGGCTCCACCTCCTAATACCATCATTTTGAGGGTGAGGATTTCAACATAAATTTTGGAAGGACACAGACATTCAGACCATAGTTCTATGGTTTGGGGATTCTATGAGATTGAGAGGAGCTTGAGCCACATGGCTTCAGTTTAATTAGCCTTAAAGGATTCAGAACATTATTTTTGGAATTCAATAGAGTTTTAAAAAATTTAAATATTAATATAAAAGTTCCCAGGAAGAACTATAGATAAAGATAAGGTCAGATCACGTGAATTTGTGGTCGATCAAGTTGGCAGTGTTTTAGGACTTTCTTTGAAGCATTTGGAAGCTTCAGCATGAACGTGGCTGCTGCAGGGGCTTCATTGGAAGGGCCCCAGAGTGGGTGGTTGTGACAGTAATGAGAGCAGAAATTCAAAGGACTGACTAACTTTATAGTTTGAGAAGGAGCAGAATCGAATGGGTCAATGATGGAGTCCAGCCTGAACAGACAGGCTAGCAGGTCCCAGTGGTGAAGGAATGAGAGGTGACACAGTGATGGCAAGGTCGAGAGTGGGACCTGGAGCATGTGTGGCAATTCTGGGCTTGGAGAATTCTTGCTTTTGGTATTCAACCTTTTTGGTACTCATTTGTTCAACATTTTTAGTGCTTCCTTTGTGTTAGGCACTTCCTTACTAGACCTCTACTCTGGTCATTCAAGCGTATGAAAAGATTCTATTTCTAGAAAGTTCTAGAAAGGGCAGTGTTGAAATGGCAATTGATTTTGCCAAAGCTTGGGCAAGAAGACCAGTGAAACAAGAGGAATAATGAGACCAGGAAAATACTGTGAGAATGGCAGAGTAAAACTCAGAGTTAGTGAGCGGTGAGGGGATGCTCTGAGTTGCCAAGGGTGGGGATGTGAGAACCAGACTTAACAGCTCCCTTCCAAACAATTCAAGCTTCTAATTGTAATAAACTTTTCTAAATTGCCACTTGATTTTTCTCAGGGTCGTAGCCCCATAATGATGATGGTGTATACAGCGAGCTCTTTTGACACGTGGGGTGCTCTCCGCAACCGTCTGGATCCACAAAGTGGGTGTTCCTTAATTCCTTTCTCGGGAGAACACAGGCCACAGATGGCACTGACTTGTTCTTTCTGCTGATTAGTATACTTGAGGTATAGAATACCAGGCTTCTACATCTTATAGCTCTGCAAATATCAGTGTAATCAAGTAGATACCTCATAGACATCTGTGCAGGTAAAGTGACAGCCTAAAATGAGCACTGAGATCATTGTAATTAAAACTTAAATTTTAGCAGTTTCCCCTCTAATTATATTTTGTGGAGGCTATTAAAGTAAATAGAATGATTTGTTCTGACAGGCAGGGAAATTCAGTGAAAGTGTGTTGGGTAGAAGTAGAATGTTATCTGGTCCCAGATTACCTGACCCCAATTCTGCAGTCCTCCCTGGTGAATTGTAGTGATCTTTAAAGTGGAATATGAAGGTGAATGTTCCTGGTGTCACAATTTCAGATCAGTCACTGTTAAAAGTGCTAAGTGCTTCAGAAGAAACACTAAACTGGACATATATTTACCTAAGACAAAGAGGCACAAGCAAATGTTTGATACATGCCGTTTGTGTGCTGGAAAAAATATCTCCCAAAAATGTGAAACTCAGACGAGAAAGTAATGAATGACTTTGGGTTATGAAAATGTTACTGGGAATAACTACCAATCCTTCTCAGTCAATTCTGGCTAATCCCACACATTTTCTGGGCATGAGATATTGGTTGATTGTGAATAGTTTAGGTCTAGATGATTTAGCCCCCCACGAAGGGCTATACATTCTCACACACTCTTCCATTTCCCCCTTTCTTCCTACCTATATGCAGTGCTAATGAAGGACGTGCGTGAAATGTTCAAGCTTAGGTTCTCCCTCAACTTCTATATGTTCCATGGTGGCACCAACTTTGGCTTCATGGGCGGAGCTGCATCTCTGGACACTTATCTCCCTGTGGTCACCAGCTATGGCAAGTACATGTCCCCCAGAATAGTCTCCTACCAAGGTTACCCCACCATTTGAGACTGGAGTGTCCTAGGGTAGGCCTCTGAGGATAATCTCTGAAACTGTTCATCTGTTTTGCCCTTAACATATGCTAGGGATTGAGGATTTGATATTTGTTCCTCTTGACAGTACTAGAATTTATTCACCAGTAGAATCTAGGCTTTCTGGGACTTGGCAAGCAAAGAAGTTGGTAGCTTAATCTTGTCTCTCCCCTGCACAGGCCCTTGTTCTTACAAGTTTCCTGCAGAAACTCTGGATCTTCTGATAGCTCCAGGGTATCAACTGATGTATCCTCCCCAGTCTACGAGTCTATTAAGAGACCAAATGGGAAGTCAAGTGTGAAAGAAAGGAAGGAGTTCAGCTGGAAATTGAATGGGAAGGAGAAACCGCTGGATTAGAGAGCCTTGGGCTGTCAGCCAGAGCTTGTCAGACACCCATGGTCTGGTGCTGTTTACCTCCTGTTGAAAGCCCTGGAAAGCTTTCTAGTTTCCTAGTTTGGATTAACTATGAAGTGGCATTTTTTTTTTTTTTTCTAATGCCAAGTTTTCTGTCCCAAAGCTTTTGTATTAAGGATCCTTTTGCTCAGTACCAAGTTCTCATCTCTTCCTGGGGAAAGAAGCTGAAGCTGAGGCTTTCCTGGGGAAAATGACACGTTTCTCTGTATTTTTCAGACTATGGGGCACTGCTGACAGAAGATGGAGAATACACGCCTGAGTATATCACATTCCAGGAGTATTTTAGCTCTGTTTTAGGTATCCAGCAACGGCTTCAATCCAAACAATAGCTCAGCCTTCTCAAGTGGTCTCTGTCCTGTGAAGAGGAGCGTGAGGAGATGGGTGGAGATTCTTTTGGGAGATACCCAGTTTGCTCCAGTTTATTTTATCATTAGGCACTGGGGCTTCAAACATGCACAAGATACAGGGGCTGCTCTCTAGTACCCAACACTAGGGCCATGTTTCTTTGTGTTGGATGTACATCAGAATTTTCTGTGGAACTTCTAGAGACCAGAGGTTCCAGGCCCTTCTAAGAGCTCTTAGATGAATATGTCCTGGTTGGAATGGGAAAGGAGGGGTAGAATCTGCGCATATGTATTTTCCCATTGGGCTTTAGGAGATTCTGCTGAGGAGCCGGGGTTGAGAACTCCTGGACCCGCAGGTGGAACTGATGTGCCTTGTTTTCCAGGGTGGCAGGGCACCTACCTCAGAGCTTAGGGATATGAGAGGAATCTCATTCCATCACTCCCTGCCTTATGACTCTTCCTGGAATTGGGGAGTGGTGCCCTGTGACTGGGCCCTTCACTCTTCCTGGCTTTGAGATAGCAGGGTGCCCTTGAATGGGTGTGGGAGAGGATCCTGGAATGGCCCAACCACCTGTTTGTCATTGCAGAAGTTCCCATGTCCATCCAACCAGACCATACGCAGAAGACTGTATATAAGTCAGTGACGCTGCTACACTTCGTGTCACTGTGGGAAATCCTGCCGTACCTGGACACGGTGAGCATTTCCTGGGCATAGACACATGAGATAGTCTTTGGAGAAAAGAGAGAGGAGAGAAAGGCTTAGCTCAAAGAACAGAGAGTAAGTTCTTGGGGAACAGAAACAACCCTTAGCAGTTCTCGTTTCTCTACTTTTACAATTCAGAATAAGAATTCAGAAATTTGAATTTGAAGAAATAGTATAAACGTTGTAGGATACTAGGAAGATTCCCTTTCATAACCTAGCTGGGAAGAGACCCCTTGCCTTCCAAAGATGGTTAGAATGAAGGTACATTGAAGTAGGGCAATGATAGTGAACTTTTTGTTTTAGTCGCGGGACTCTTTCTCCAAACTTACTGCAAAGCTCGCTATATAAAACATAAATATAAAACATAAACTAAGTCAGTCGTGGTAGATCTGTAGCTCTGTGCTTCCTCCTCCCTAAGGGCCAGCCATCCCTTCTCTAGGACAGTCCATGTGCCACTTCTAATTTGACCCTAGGGTTCGGGGGAACACAGTTTGAAAATCGCTGGCCAAGGAAAAAAAAACTGCATACTTATTCATATAGCACTTACTGAATGTTACTGTTTGGGGAACTGTATTATCAAGACATCATTTTAGGCAACTTCCTGTCTAATGAGTAAGAGAAGCGAGTAGAGAGGAGAGGGGTGCAGGTCTCATGGCAGCAGAGTGAAGGTGGCGCAGCGCGGTGGAGGGAACAGCGCTGTGCGGTGAGCAGGGTCTCTGGGGGCAGACTGCCTGGGTTTGAATCTGTGCCCCAGTATTACCAGCTGTGAATCATTTAACCTCACTCCAGCCAAGTTTCCTCATCTGCAAAATGAGGCTAATAATTGTAAGTGCCTCGTAGGATCCTGTATGGATTAAACCGTTGATAGAGATACAGTCGAATGCTGGACGTCACAGGATCCGTGGTGACATTTCAGTTGAGGTGATTGTGAGACCTGGAGGCTTAATGGGAGCTGGGGGAAGACAGCAGGGAGGAGGGGAGAGGGAAACGAGCGAGGGGCGCAGCAGACCCAGTGCCCAGGGGTAAGGCAAGGAGGGAACTGCGTCTGGGGCTCTGCAGCTAGGATCGGAGTGGAAGGTCCAGGGAGAGTGGTGGGAGGAAGCCAGGCACCCATTGGAGGGCCTTTGTGGTTGTGTTTATAACTTTTTCCCAGGGAATTTTAAAAAGTGGAGAGAATAGTGGTGAGCCCCTAGGGGCTCCACAGCCTGCTTCGGCTTTATCAATACAAGGCTGATGTTGTTCCATCTCTACCCTACTCTGCCCTCCTGCCTTTTACATGATTATTTTTAAGCTGACCTCAGACATCATATAATTTTAGTGGTAAATAGTTCAATATGATCTCAAAACATAAGGGCTTTTTAAAAAATACGTAACTATAAAATCATTATTATTCTTAATAATAGTAATGGTAATATAATAATAGTTCCTTAAAATCAGAGATTTGCTGGGAAATGTTTAGCCACTGGCTTTCTAGAAGAAAAACCTCTGATTAGTAGTATTTGCCCATTTCTATGGCGTAAATCCTCCCACTGTGGCTACTTTCAAGCTGCTACCATGATGACACTGAGCACAGAGTTGGGAAGCTGTGTCCATGGTTGGCTCTCACGAACTAGTGCAAGTTGGCTCTAGCGCATCACTGCTTAAAATCATAAAATAGCCAGTGCTGAAATTTCTCAGTTATCATATACCTTTTTTGTAGCATTGATTTGTTAATATCAGGATCCAAATGAGATCCATCACCCATTGCATTTAATTGATATATCTCTTATGTTTCTTTTGACCTGAAGATTTTTTTTTCCTTCTTTTTATTCCATTTATTTGTTGAAAAACCCGTATTATTTATACTCTAGAATTCTCTGCATTGTGGGTTTGGTTTTGCTGATTAGATCCCTGCTATGTCAGGTGACATGTCTCTATATTCCGTGTGTTTTCTGTAAATCAATAGTTAGATCTAGATATTTGAAGGAATTAAAGGTAGGTTTTTATTCATTTGTGTGCAAGTATACCTCACAGGTGGTGGTGGTGTACTTCCTATGCCTCATATCCCAGGCACGTGATGGCTGGTTGTTTCTGTTCTCAAAATTGATCAGTGGGTTGAGGTGTTGTGAGTTCTCCTATTCATTTTCAACCTTCCCATCAGCCTTTTACCTCGTGGTTTCAGCAGCCATTGGCAATTATCACCAGACCCAGTATTTCATTAAACGCTTTGGAAACAATGTCATTCTAATTCTATAATTCCTTCAGTGCTCATTCACTTGAATTCTTCTGTATAGAACTTTCCTCCATCAATTATCTTATTACCCTAAAGTAAGGACAGTTTGTATGGAAAAGTCAGGACAAAAATTCAAGTATTTTCTTTCATCAGAATGATGAATTTATTTGCACATTAAAATGTTTCTATCCCACTGCAGTCTCATTTTTGATGCTCAAATTGTCCCCTCCTAGGCCAGGGTGAGCCCCTTCAATCTGGCTCCTGTGTCCCTTCAACATGACCCCCACAGACTTTGGTATCTTCTTTGCTTTTTGGTCCTCCAGGATGTTTCCGGCGGGATGGCTTCACAGACCTGGATTCGTCTGTTTCTCCAGGGGGTTCTGAAGGGTCATGTTTTTATGCTAAGAAGTGTGGATGCTTCCATGAAAGTTATGGGAAGTCATTTCAAAGCAGGGCCAGGAGTCAGAGGGGCAGCTGTGCGTTTCAGAGGATTTCTCTGGTAGCGCTGTGGGGGGCAGATTTAGGTAGGGTCTTGCTAGAGCACTGAAACCAAATAGCAGTCTCCTGAACTTGAACTACGTAGTAGGAATGAAGGAGGACTAAACACATATTTTAGAGCTGGACTGTACAGGAAGTGATGACTGGTTGATGCAAGACTGGTGATAATTGCCAATGGCTGCTGAAACCACGAGGTAAAAGGCTGAAGGGAAGGTTGAAAATGAATAGGAGAACTCACAACACCTCAACCCACTGATCAATTTTGAGAACAGAAACAACCAGCCATCACGTGCCTGGGATATGAGGCATAGGAAGTACACCACCACCACCTGTGAAGTATACTTGCACACAAATGAATAAAAACCTACCTTTAATCCCATCAAACATCTAGATCTAACTATTGATTTACAGAAAACACAGGGAATATAGAGACATGTCACCTGACATAGCAGGGATCTAATCAGGAGGAGGAGGAGGGAGAAAAGGAGGGAGAGGACATTGCCTGAGCTTTCTACTTTTTTGCCTGGATGGATGGTGTTGCTCTTCTTGAAGGAAAAAGAGTGGGATGGGAATTGTTGTGGTCAGTGCGGTTTGGGTGATGCTGCACTGGAAACCTCTGTGGGCATCCAGAGGGTGGGGCCCAGTAGATATGAGGGTAAACAGACACAGGGTGCTTTAGGGTCGTGCTAGATAGGCAGATGTATGAATAATCACAGCCAGTTAGCCCCTGGGCTGCAGTGATTTCTCTTGGTAGTATAAACAAGGAAAAGAAAAGGCCATGAATGGGCAGAACCTGGCACCCTGGGGTGGGATTCCTGTGCTCGGGAGTCCAGTCCAGCCTCCACTATGAATTGATGAGCCAGGCCCACAAATCACACCCTTTTCTTGACCTCAGCTTTTCCATCTGAAAAATAGAAATGCCTCACTGACTAGCACACCCAGGGAAATCTGAGGTTGGTTTGGAAAACAAAAAGGGCATTTGTGTGCCATGCTTAAGGATGATCATCACTGCATATTCCTTTTTTATACTCCTGTTCGCAAGGCTCTTGGGGCCACTCTTTTGGAGAGGTGGGCTTTGGGTGGGGGTTTCTGGGGTTCTTCTGTCCAGCCTCAACCTCAGCCTGGTTTTCGCTCCTGTCTCTGCCATAGCCAATCAAGTCTGCCAAGCCAGTCTCCATGGAGATGCTGTCTGTGAACCAGGGGAGTGGTCAGTCCTATGGGTACACACTGTATGAGACTTACATCTCCAAAGGAGGCATCCTCTCCTCAAGGGGTCATGTTCGGGATCGTGCTCAGGTAGGAGGCAATGAGCGTGTCTCAGGGGCATTTGTCTGCGATCATAGCCCAACTGTGCTGTTGAGGGGACTGTCTAAATGATAGCCAAAACTTTTTGACCTTCAAAACATTATTACTGTCTCTTAATGCCTGTCCGTTCAGTGAAATCTTTTGTACATGTGCTACTGCTACACTTTGCCTAAGGTGTGTAAAACTCTAGGGGACCTGAGGGTGCTTTTTAAGGAGACCTGAGAAGAGCGTAAATAGTCCCTATACTTATTGCATATCAATCCCTAACATTTACATGGCATATTACTGTTGGCTTTTCTCAGTTTTTTTTTTCTTTCTTTCTTTTTTTTTTTTTCCTTTGAGTCAGAGTCTCACTCTGTTGCCCAGAGTGTTGTGGCATTCTTATAGCTCACTGCAACTTCAAACTTCTGGGCTCAAGCGATCCTCCTGCCTCAGCCTCCTGTTGCTGGGATTACAGGCGTATGCCACCACGCCCGGCTAATTGTTTCTACTTTTAGTAGAGACGGGGTCTCGCTCTTGCTTAGGCTGGTCTGGAACTCCTGCGCTCAAGTGATCCTCCCACCTTGGCCTCCCAGAGTGCTAGGATTACAGGCGTGAGCCACCACAGCCCGGCCTCATTTAACTCTTAAAACACCTGAGATATGTATTGCAAATGAGGAGAACCCAGAGGAGTTAAATGACTTTCAAATGCTGTTCAGCTGGAGCGTCGCAGAGCCGGCTAACGGCTTCCCATCCCACCCACAGCAAGAGCTGTTTTCTCCGACTGCTGGTGGAATCTTCTTGCTCTTCATACTCTGTATCATCTTCCTCAAGGGCTTCAAGGACTCTTTTCTCATGACTCCAGCCCTCCCTCCCTTCCTCAGCTGCAGACCCGTATTTTTTGCTGTGTCTGGACATTCCTCTTCACGTGGTGTTTGTTCCACGGCTCTCCAGCTCCTTCTGGCATGAGCTTCCTAAGGAAACCTCAGAGCGGTTGGTGGCCTCACAGCCTCCCAAGCTGGCAATGCTGCTCTCGTGCGCCCCTCACCCTTTCTTCACTCCTTAATCCCACCTGGCCCCTGCATGGTGCAGCATTTACTTAAGTTGTTCCCGTAAAACTCATGCTGTTGTCATCTCAGTCTCATCCCGGTATGTCGCTTCTGCTATTATTACACCCTCTCAATTCTGTTTCAGACTATGCACTGTCATCCTCTGTCCCCGTCTCTTCCCTGCTGAAGGCCCCCCTCATAGTGCCATTGGAGTTTCTTCCCAGGTAAAAGCCTCATCACTCCACTTCTCTTGTACCCACTGCTGGTGATGTCCTTAGCCACCTGTCCGCCGGTCCATGGGGTGGCCTGGCTTCTGCAGTGCATAGGACTCACCGTTCCTTCCGCAGTGCTTCCGGGTGGGCTGTCCCCAGCTCCATGGTAGCAGAGGCGTTGTGCTCCGATCGTTGCTTTGTGTGACTCTCCGTCTGCATTTCTCAGTGCTCAGGGTTGTATTTTAACCAGGTGACCCCTGCCCAGTGAGATATTGAGTCATACAGCAAGTGTTCAGTAAATGTTCAGCAAGTGTTCAGTAAATAGAATATATCAGCCTGTGATTAGACTCTGGTAAGCTTACACTATGAATTCTGTATTCTGTATAATAATAACATTTATATGTTTTTCATAATTGTGGATTTTTCTTGTTATAGTTTCTAAGTCATTTTATTTGAAAAATTGTGATCTAAGCTAAACACTCTAAGAAGCAAATTATTTATCCTTATCTGGTCTTGATGGCTAGAGCGGAGTCTTCTGGGTGGCTTAGTCTAGGGCTGAGGCAACACTGTAGGGAATGGAAAAGAAACAGGTTCATGTTCAGATGATCCCTAAAACCAGGCAGGGCGGTGGCAGCAGCAGATTCTTGTTCCAAATGACAATCTGGGGATCCCCAGCAGAACAGGATCTACTGCAGAGGTGAACCCATGGGGGCAAGGCAGGCTGACACCTGCGCGGCTGCCGTGCCTGCGTCCTCACACCTTCCCTCCGCCATCATTTGTTTCACGGTGTCTATTCATTGTCTACGTTTCCTTTTTCCTCATTCCCTGCAGGCCTTTTTAATTTCCCCCTCCTTGCCCTACAGTGGAGCTGGGGCCTGGGTTTCATGTCTGGACACCCTTCTTCAGACTTCACCTCACGTGATGCATCCCTGGCTACTTTAAATACAGTCTGTTTTTGTGAACATGTGGTCAGCTGGTGGAATTTGGGGAGACAAAGAGTTCCTTGTTCCCCTCGACATGCCCTTGTCCTGCCTTTCCCAAGGTCTGTCTCCTCCCTTTCCTGATGAGGACCTAATGTCGCTCTCTTCTTTCTTTGGCAGGTGTTTCTGAATGGGCAGCATGTGGGAGTCCTGGATCACTCCACTGATCATCTGAATATTATGAGAAATGTATATACTCCAGTGTTAATGGACAGATAGTTCTAGTGCCTGTCGGGCCCTGCACTCGGGTGTGCCCGTGGCTGGGCCTGTGATAGCCCCTCTCTCCTCCCTGCCCTTGGGATTACTCCTGGCAGAGGAGCCCAGCAGGGACGAGGGAGAGTTGTGTGTGTCTCCAGGGTACAGGTACCTCTGCTTTAGGCGAGCACAGCTTTTCCACCTTGGATATTTGCTGCTCAAAAAACTCCGGGTTGGCCACTGGCCCCAGTAGAGTCTCTGCTAAAATGTACAAGTGACTCTTTCTTTCCCTGAAAGGCCTGGCTCAGGAGGGTGGGGCATGAGCAGGAGGAGTGGCAGCCTGGGGGTTCACTTGGCCCGGATCTGGGGGTCCGAAGGCCCTGAGGCCTGCCTGCAGGTCAGTCTTGGCTCCAGGGGAGACCTAGACGGTCTGCAGAAGAGTGCTGGTCTGTCTCGGACAGGGCTACCAGGACTACCACTCCCTGAGGATCCTGGTGGAGAATCAAGGCCGACTTGCCTATGGGAAGGATATCAACAGAGAGAGGAAAGGTGGGCTACCGAATGCAGACCCTGCCACCCTTACCGCAGGCTGAGGGCAGTGAGGGACAGGCATATGGTTTGGAAGAGAGCAGGGTCTCTCAGCCACAAGACAACCACGTGGAGGCTATGATGACATCTGGCCTTGCTGGGAAAGGATGACAGTGTCCTTTCTCCTCAGTTCCCCAAGTGTGTTTTCTCATTACCGAGTCAGAGCCAGTATACTACCCTTCCTCTTCAGAGAGGGGTTTGAGAATGGCTCCCTCAGGAGAAGGCCCTGGAGAATAAAAACAGTGAGGGTCCCTCCCTAGGGATGTTGCTCCTTCCTTCCCTGGAGTCAATGCTTGTGCTGTCCTTCCCAGCCCCAGTGCTCCTGGCTAGAGTCCCACACACCTTCCTTCTCCCCTCAATGCTTTGACACACCTGAGACTTAGGCTTCCCTGAGCCCCCATGCTGGCCAGACCTGGCAGGGACTGCAGTGCCTTCTCCGCTGTTAATGTGGAGGATACAGGCCCCTCTCTGAGAGGTGTGCACTCAGACAGAGAGGTCTGTGTAGGATTTTGCAGAAACCTTTCCAGCCAGATGAGGCTAGAAAAGCTGTCTCCTTCAGGGAGAGCCCTGGCCACAGCTCTGTACATTGCCACCCCTTCCTGCCTCTTCACTCACCTTTTCTGTCCTCTCCTGCAGGTTTAACTGGGGACATCTATCTGGACAATTCTCCACTAAGAAAATTTACAATTTACAGCCTGGACATGAACATAAAATTAATACAAAGGTGGGTGCCTGACCATTAATTCCAGGTGATGGATCAAAAATGGTAAACATTTAGCGAGGGAAGGGACCCAGAGATTATCCAGACGAACCCCGCAGTTACTGAGGGGAGGGGAGCACCAGGCTCCAGGGAAGAGGCTCACCTCCTAGGTCATAGATGACACATTAGAGAGAAAGGTGTGACCATCCTCCTGGTCCTTGACTATCTCTCAGGATAATTCCCAAGATCTGGAAACCAGTCTCATACCAAGTTCAGGGCCCTGCCTTCTTCCTCGGTTTCCTGAAAGTTGGGGAGCCCAAAGACACCTTCATAAAACTGGAGGTTAGTGCCATTTCTCTCCTGTCTATGTCCACCCAAACTTCCATCCCCAAAGGACCTGTAGAAAAAAGGCTCCTTGGCGCGTGGGCTCTGCCGTGTGTGAGGGAATACCAGGGCCCTCAGCCACTCTACAAGCCATCCAGGCGGCTGCCCGATCCCGGTGCTACCTGGGTGGGGTGGGAGTACTGCAGGGCCGGCTGGAGGAGCCACTGCATGGGGAGCGTGAGGAGAATTGCCCAGTAGTGCCCAGACATCATCCACCATGCAGCCCGTGGTGGGGAGGTTCTAAGTAGGATGCCAACACACAGTTGCTGCCACTCCTGAAATTCTACAACGCTATCGATGTTTTGGGCCCAGCATGTTTTGATGAACAGCCGATGGTATACAGACATGGGAGGCATGGTGGGAAGCAGAGCCCTCCCCCTGAGGCCGACGGCTGTGGCACAGAACTCTCGGGCCCCCCCACCCCAGGCCTTGGTTGGTCATCCATCCTGTTTGGGCATACCTGTGATTTGGTGTGTCTGGTGTATGAGGGGTATGTTCATGTGTGTGGCGTCTTCTCCCCTTGGGTCTTTAGCCCTCCATTCCACTCTTTTTCAGGGCTGGACAAAAGGGGTTGTTTTCATCAATGGAAAAAACCTAGGACGCTACTGGAATTTAGGTCCCCAGGAGACCCTTTACCTTCCAGGACCATGGCTTCATTCTGGGACAAATGAGGTGAACCCCGCCCACAGTACCCCACACCTCCCTGTCCACATCCATGGACTCTGTCTGGCCTCAGAGGCAGAACTTGAATCTCACGGCCACCCCACCTTCTTCTTGACAGATCGTCGTGTTTGAGGAATTGATAGGTGGCCTACAGATCCAGTTCATAAAGAGCCCTTTTCTAGGTATGGCATTCTGAAGGGTCATTTGCGGCATCTTGGACAATACTTTTGGCTCTTTCTAGCTGAGATAGACACAAAGAAGGCAGGGTGTGCACCATCTACCAGGACCCTGCCTGGCACGATAGATAAACTTTCTCTTTGGCTGCCCATTTGAAGTTGACCTGACTAACCTCCTCTAACAGCCTAAACCCAACTCCCTCTACCTCCCTTCCAGACATTTCCACGGTATATTGGGATCTCTTTCTCACTGTATACCGATCCCAACACCCTCCACTTCTTGCAGTTTCTGAAATGCATCAATCTTCCCACTGCCCTTTCTCCTGCTGCCATGTTGGATAACTCCAAAGCACTTTCCCCAGTACCCTCCCTGGGAGGCCACAGCCAGAGAATGCATGGACCAGTTACAGTCTGGGCCCACGTGCTTCAGACCTCCTGTGCCTTCCTAGTGACACCGGTTGCCTGCAGCCCCAGTTGCCCCAGCTCCTTTTGTTGCAAGCAGCATTCAGATATCCTTTTGGAGAGTGGCCATCCCTCCGTCCCTCCCGTAGAATCTTTTTGGGCCTGATAACCAAACTGCCACTTCTCCTCCCTCCCTTGGTGGGCATGCGATACGTAATAAGCCAGTCATACTTTCTTCTCCAGGATACTGAGTCTCGCTGGTATGGAAATGGGAAATGGGCTGAGCTGAGTCATTTCAACAGTGGTGCCGTGAGTAGCTGTCAGTCCTGACACCCAGGTCACGCGAACTGCCCTGGCTTCTCCGTCTGTGCCAAGCCCTGCTGGGGTCTGCCATTCACCCCTAACCTGCCCATACCTTCCTCTTGTGGCTTCAGTTGGCAAACCTCTTTCTGATGTTTACAAGATAAACCTACCCAATGTGTACATTTGCAATATTGCTATGGTAAAAGCTGTTTGACCCCCAAATCAAATATTGAAAAAAATGAGAAGATGCTCAGAATATTTGACCTCACAAGTGTAAATCTGAAGCAAAAGTGATCTTCTCAAGAAATCAAATAAAATATAAAAGTTAATGCAGGAAATGTCAGGAAGCTCATATATACTTTGTGCTTTCAGTGTTTAATAAAAGTGTTTTACTTTTACTTTTCAGTGGTCTTTTCATTCCACTGGGTTTCCATACTCAGGGGCAAGCCCTGCTTCTTTGAGACTCATGGCAGCCAGCTCTGCCTTTCCTTGTCATCGTTGGCACTTGATTCATGGCCCTGTTGATCTCCTGTCCTGCTGCCATCTTCCTGCCGATGGCCCCAAGCCTTCTGAGCCATTACAGAGGGCAGAGAGAGCCATTTGAGGCCCTGGGGTGATCCACTTGGAGGCACAGCATGGACAGGCAGAGGGAAGACCTTTGGAGTTTTACTCTTTCAAGCCACTACAGGTCCCAGTGTGGTATAAACAGGCTCTGGGTTAGCTCACAGTTTCTCAGTGAGGCTTGGAAGAGTGTGTCGCCATAGAGGCAGCTGGCATTGCATCGGGTGCTACAAAAGGGAGCCCAAGCCAAGACCAAAAGGAATCCAGCCAGACCCCAGAAGCTCGGTGAGCTCCCACGGGACCTGGGGTGAGGCCATTGCACAGGGGCTACCAGACCTCGGTTGGCCCAGAGAGTCAAGATCACAAGTACACCCCTTGCATGCTGCACCTGTAAATGCCAGTGGCCAGCATTGCCCACATGGACAAGGTCCTCCACAGTCCAAGCAGGTCATAGGGCAAGAGCTGCCTGCTCAGGGGTTTCCTTCATTGCCCCACCCCAACCCTGTGTCTCAGCTGAAGCCCACAGAGGAGGAAGCAGTACAGATGGCAGCTCAGCTCCATTCATCCCTCTCTTCCTTCTCTTTCTCCTGTCACCCAAAGCCCAGAAGCGTTCCCATATCATAGCCTTGTCCTTCCATAAACCTTAGTGTGCAGCACAGTCACCTGGAGGGCTTGTTCAAACATGGACTGCTGGACCCTGTCCCGGGATTGTTGATTCGGTGTGTCTGGGGCCCAAGGATTTGCATTTCTGGCAAGGTCCCAGGTGATGCTCCTATTGCTGCTCTGGGGATCCCGCTTTGAGAACCTTTACCATAAAGCAGGATCTCAACCTCAGCACTCTTGGTCCTTGGGGATAGATAATTCTTTGTGGTGGGGGCTGACCTGTGCATTGCAGGATGTTTAGCAATATCCCTTGGTCTCTACTCCCTAGGGGTGAGCAGCACCCCACCCCCAACTGTGATAACCAAAAATGTCTTCTGGCATTGCCAGATGTCCTCTGGGGATCAGAATTCCTCAGGGTGAGAACCACTTCTGTGGAGCATACCTGATTCCCCCAGTCAGAAATGGTACTTTTCCTACCATCCAGGAAAGCACTAGGAGTTGGGGCCTCATGGATAAATCCTTAATAAATAAAGGGCAAAGATGAAGGAATTTGGAAAATCTTCTCTTAAGACAATAGTCGATCTGTGACCTCATTTTTCTTCTGCACAATCCTAGTGCTGAATAACAAACAGCTTGTTACTTCTTTATTTCTCTTTGTTCTACTTTTGAAACAAATTCTGATATTCCCACAGATAAATGGATTTCTTGGGTAAATTGGAGTAAAATTCATGTGTGTGGGAGGCTGAAGGGAAAATCATCACATTGCACTTTTACAAATATTTCTCCCTTTATACCTATAAACAAGCATGGGAAGAGTGGTGCTGCAGTCCTGTCTATAAAAGGGACAGCTCGTCTGCTGCCAGGCCCTCCTTCCCTCTTCATGGCCTCTCAGGGCCCCGGGCAATATGGACTGTCAAATATGCTCATCTGATAGCACTGGGAGAAACCTTAAGGAGGGTATAATGGTGGCGGTGGTGGTGGTGGTGATGGTGTTTTTTCCCTGATAACCTGAGGTTCATGCCTTGGTGGAATGCCAGATCAAATTATAGAAACTACAATTTCTCTACCTGAGTTGGAGTATGAACATTTATCTTTATGAATTTATTATTTATTTACTTAGTTTTAGAGACAAACTCTCACTCTGTCACCCCGGCTGGAGTACAGTGGCTCGATCATAGCTCACGGTAACCTCAAACTCCTAGGCTCAGGTGATCCTCCCACCTCAGCCTCCGAGTAGCTTTAAAAAACTACTTGTAAAATATTGGTGTACTATGAAAGAAGAATATCGATCATAATTATCTAGAAAGGTTATTAAGATATTCCTTTTTCCAGTTACATATTTGTGTGAGGCTAGATCTTCACATATGTCAATCAAAATAATGGAAACACTCTTCCCCCAGGTTACCTACTTGGCTTACTCCCTCACCTCCTTCCAGTCTCTGCTTAAGTCACATCCTAGAACAATGCTGAACAGTTATATTAAAATCCATTGGTCTAATCTTGCATGGATCTTTTACTCAAATCATGATTTTGTAACATTATGCATTAGGTCACTGAATTATGCAGATCTTCAACATTTCATTATCCAATATGAAAACATTCAGTTATCAATATCACCACTAATCCCACAGAGAAAGAATTTAAGATTTGAGAAGCTATCAAGCTACTGGATAGTGGGCACAAATTTTCCAAAATACTAAGTTTTAACTGAAAGCTTGAGTTTTATCATTGACAACAACTACAGTCAGTTGTTATACTTGAAGTGACAGGCTCACTTCATTAGTTTTTTTCCCTCTTTTTAAATGAGAACTTACTGAGATAAAATTCATGTAACGTAAAATTAATCCTCTTAGGATATAAAACTCAGTGGCTTTTAGGATATTCACAAAGTTGTGCAACCATCACCACTACCTAACCTTAGACAATTTTCATCACCCCAGGAAGAAACCCCGACACATTAGCACTGACTCCCCATTTCCTCTCCCCCAGCCACTGGCAACCACTAATCTACTTTCTGTCTCCGTGGATTTGCCTATTCTGGATTTGTACCTGGCTCCATAAGCAAGAAAATATTTTTTAAAATAGTTTTTCTTACAATAGACAGAACAAAAATAGTTTCTTAAAAACTATGTTTAAAATAGTTTTTCTTATATTTCAAGTTTCCAGGCCAGTATATTTGCTGACCAGAACTTTGTAGCTTTCTGTTGCACTGATGCATTCCTTTTTGAGTTTCTTTCCCAGGAATGTGGAACCTCCTTGCAGCCATGAGATAACTACAAAGCCTTACAACACCTGTTTGTCTGGAGAAGATGAGATAAGTGACATCCCAGCACAGATTGTGCCCAAGGACCTGCTGAGCAGCCTACTTCCCACATCCTACCTGGACACAAGGCTGAAAGAATTACCAATATTAACGCCTAGCTCATTATACTACTAAAATCCCTACCCTGGGAGGGACTGATCTACCATTTTTGATCATGAGATGTATGCACTTGCATGATTTCTCACTGTGCTTGTATTCCTTGCACTCTGCCCAAAAGATGTAATGATGTTCACTTAGTGCGTTATTCATTTTACCTCCAGAAAAACCCCTGACACCCTTGGTCAGGGAGGTGGATTTGAAGCAGTCCATTCCTCCCACCTCCTGGTTGACGTGTCCTCCACAATAAATCCTTTCTTCTTTGACAATCCGCATTGTCTCAGTAATTGGCTTTCTGTGTAGCAAGCAACAGAGAGAACCTCCCCTGCCGGTTCATTAACAGACTTTTCTCCCATCCAAGTACTAACCAAGCCCGACCCTGCTTAGCTTCCGAGATCAGACAAGATTGGGGTGCGTTCAGGGTGGTATGGCCGTAGACAACAGCCTTTTCTTATACAAAGAATCGCATAATACGTGGTCTTTTGTGACTGGTTTCTTTCACTTAGCATGTTTTAAAGGTTCATCCATGTTGTAGCATGTGCCAGTATTTCATTCATTGTTTTTGGCTGAATAATATTCCATTGTATGGATATAGTACATTTTGTTTATCCTTTCATTAATTGATGGACATTTGGGTTGTTTCCACTTTCTGGCTATTATGAATAATGCTACTGTGAACACTTGTGTGCAAGTTTTTGTGTGAATATATGTTTTCACTTCTCTTGGGTAAATACCTACGAGTAGAATTGTTGGATCATATGGTAACTCTACGTTTAACATATCAAGGAGATGCCAAACTGTCTTCCAAATTAGCTATACCATTTTACGATCCCACCAGGAATATACGAGGTATCTGATATCTCCATAGCCTCACCAGCATTGTTAGCTGTTATCTTGATTTTAACCAACCTAGTGGTAGCGAAGAGGTATCTCATTGTGGTTTTGATTTGTACTTCCCTGATGACTAATAATGTTGCGCATCTTTCCTGTGCCAGTAGGCCATTTGTTTGCCATCTTTGGAGAAATACCTTTTCAAATACTTTGCCCATTTAAAAATCTGGGTTGTCTTTTTATTGCTGAGTTGTGAGTTTATATACTCTAGATACAAGTCCCTTATCAAGTATGTGATTTGTAAATATTTCCTTCCATTCTGTTGGGTTTCTTTTCACTTTCTTGATGGTTCCATCTGAAGTACCAAAGTTTTAAATTTTTATGAAGTCCAGTTTATTATTTTTCTTTTATTGCTTGTATTTGGTATCATATATAATAAGCTATTGCCTAATCTAAGATCACAAAAAATTTACTCCTATGTTTTCTTCTAAGAGCTTCAGAGTTTTTAGATTTTATACACATAGGTCTAGGGTAAACTTTGAATTACTTTTTAGGTCCAACTTTATTCTTTTGAAAGTAGATATCCATTTATCTTACCCCATCTGTTGAAATGACTATTCTCTTGCCTTCATGTTGTCTTGGCACCCTTGTGAAAAATTAATGAACCATAAATGTATGTATTTATCTGTAGATTCTAGTTCTGTTCCATTCATTTTTATATGTGTTTTTAGGCCAGTATCACACTGTCTTGGTTACTGTAGCTTTGTAATGAGCTTTAAAATCGG